CCAAAGACTGTAAAGATACCCAGCTCAATAATTATTCACATTCAGTCTAAATGTTTTTGGTTAGATAATATACATATGTAAATCAAGAAAACACCATAATACACCCTATACCAAACAATGGCATATGAATCATGCCCACTGTCGGGGGTGTCGCAGCACATCCATGATCTCTTTCTCCTTGGTCTTATCTTCTGCCAAGTTGTCTTCGTCCACAGGCATGTTCTCTGTCCTTGTGCCAGAGACAGGGTCCATATAGGCCCAGCTAGCGGTGCGTGGAAGACTCATCAAGATACTTTCAATGCGGGCATTGGGCGTGCGCAAGCCAAAGCTAGTTCCGCGATCATAGACAAGGTTGAACTCCACGTAGCGGCCTCGACGAAGCTGCTGCCACTCCTTTTGTTCCGGGGTGTACAACATATCTTTGCGTCGCTCGATAATGGGCACGTAGGAAGGAAGGAAAGACGCCAGACCGTCCGAAACGAAGGAGAACAGTGTCTCCTGCGGATTGGAGGAGGAGCCGGCGGAAGTTTGAAGGAAGTTGGCGTCGAGGTCATCGAAGAAAATACCTCCAACGCCACGGCATTCACCACGGTGGGGGATGTAGAAATATTTGTCACACCAGGACTTAAACTTGGGGTAGTATGTAGCATCGTGACGGTCGCATGTATCCTTTATGGTCTTATGGAAGTGTTGAGCATCCTCAGGGAAGAGGTAGGTCGGGGTCAGATCTGTGCCACCACCGAACCACCAGTTCTTGTCCCCATTGATGGGGTCCTTGGGATCAGACGTCTCGAAGTATCGGTAGTTGAGATGCACCGTTGGAGCCATGGGATTGTGGGGGTGCAAGACCAGCGAGAGACCAGCGGCAAAGAAATCTAGCGAGTCCACATCTGCACCAACAAAGGACTTGTGATCGGCCCGCATCTTCTCAATGGCTGGCTTGGGTAATTTGCCATACACCACAGAGACATTAACACCGGCCTTCTCGAAGACGTTGCCGTCCTGTAGCACACACGAAACGCCCCCGCCGCCATTGGGGCGCGACCAGGTATCGGTCTTGAATTGTTGCCCATCGATTCTGCCTAATTCCTCGATAATCTTCTGCTGGTGTTGCTTGATGAGCTTTTCCATCCGTAAGCGCATCGGCGAGGACTCATTGATTTTCGATGACTGCTTCAGGGCATCATCCACTTCGACCATGGATGGAGCATCGAGTTCTGTGACTTCTTCTGTCATCTGGAATAAATGAGCAATTGATTTCCTCGGAGTTTCCATCACCATGTCTTACCATTGAGTATAGAATTGCACCGATAAAAGGCACCCCAAAGGCGAGGCGCAAGTACGGTCTCCAGACAGTGAATGGCTTCGGTTCACGCGGATTTTGCCCAGTGGAGTATCCACGGAATGATGGTCCAGCACGATAGCCAGCAATGCGAGTGCTTCGAGCAGACAACTGTCCAAGCGACCTCCGGAGAGGCGCGTATGATCGGGTGGCCATCTTTGGAATATGATGGAGTGTGCGGATGACCAGCACAAAGTATCGAAAAATGAATGGTCGAAAGCAAGAGAGTGACAGCAAAAACTCGTACAAAGAATGATTTGAGGAAGAAGTTGATTTGAGTCAACAATTCAGCAAAATACCACGCAACCTCGGTCTCAAATCGTACGACTTTCTTGGAGTTGTTTGATCTGTTTGGCTGGCTGAGATAAGCACGATAAGCGGCCCCCGTAGTTGAAATAGGCAGCACCGGGGCAATACATGTAATCCCCGGTATTGGTGAGATTGTTTTCATTTCAATATCAAAGAGTAGGATATTGAAGGGTATCTCTATCTTCGGAGTATGTACGGAGTAGATTAATATATGTCTTTGCTCTCCACGTGAGCCTCTCAAAGACATCTGATTTCTGCCGCGTGACCTTTGACTCACCGCCTATAGATCCCGTGATGGTATTACCGTAACGTCAGCGGGGGAGGTCGCCTTGTCATCCTCTATCACCCCTCTCTATCTCTCTCTTTCTACTTTCTACAAGATACTTTACATCCAGAGCTTCTCGTCTAGAAGTCACAACTGCTATCACCTTTGTACTAGAGCTTCCTGGTGCTTTGATCCTACTCTCCACCCGACCCGCTCTTACTTATCGACCCTTATCAGTCACGATGCGATCCAAGTTCAAGGACGAGCACCCCTTCGAGAAGCGAAAGGCGGAGGCTGAGCGCATTCGCCAGAAATATGCTGACCGCATTCCTGTGAGTTTCTTTATTCAGCTCCCCGATGGTGGTGGTTGCAACCAACCTCACAGACCCTCACCGCTTGTTTGGTAGCTAATGGACTTTCAATCTACAGGTCATCTGCGAGAAGGTCGAGAAGTCGGATATTGCCACCATCGACAAGAAAAAGTACTTGGTGCCAGCCGACCTCACCGTAGGACAGTTTGTCTATGTGATCCGCAAGCGCATAAAGCTCTCTCCAGAGAAGGCTATCTTCATCTTCGTTGACGAGGTCCTCCCTCCAACTGCTGCGCTCATGAGCAGTATCTACGAAGAACACAAGGATGAAGATGGCTTCTTATACATCACGTATGTTTCCCTCCTTTCTATCATATATATATATATATTTGTTAAATGAAATCACACTGACATAACGGTTAGATATTCGGGTGAGAACACTTTCGGTGACCTTTAGAGGTTGTCTAGTCTCTCTCATTTGCTTTGCTGTTCGGCCACCCCAACCCGCACGAGTGAGTCGACGATGGATGAACGGGCAGGCGAGAAGGCTTCTGCGACCTTGGGATACTGGTTTTGGGTCACTGGCGTTTTCATTCGGGTCTTCTGCGCATTTTCTAACTTTGCTTGGCAACTATGCTCTTTCGCTGCAACACAATCATTACGAGCTTTCTCTGGTGATAATATTCTGGGATTCTTTTGCCAAATTATTTTTTTCACGTTTGGGTTCCGAGTAGTGGATCAGCAACCTGGAAACAAACCACAGATCAGGCTAGATAAAGTATTTACACTTAAGAGCAATATGATTTCTTTAGCCATACATTTCCCTCGGGAAGGACTTAACCCCGGCATCTCTACTATGTACTCCAGTAACCATGGAATACTTCAAAACGGCTAGCCCTAGATGGTTCGTCGCCAATAACCTTGTGATATACGAGATACTAACTTATTTACCATCTGTATTTCCTATAATCTAGACCATATTGTTTGCAAAAATCCACTTCAGTTACTTTCACCCGTCGCATTCCGGTGCGGTTTATGAACCTATTTCCATAGTGGGTATTTTTAGAGGAAAATGAATCTATATGGAGTCATATTCTAGAATTAGAAACCAATCACTTGTTGATAACCCTCAAGAAATTACTTCTTTACATTTCTCATAGACTCCTTCGTAGTATATAGATCCTTGTCCCTACTCCTTGGCTCTCCGATGGCGGCTCCAAAAAGGGACTAGTGCCAAATCCCTCGATAAAATTTAACCCCGAGCACATGTTCCTGAATTGAATCCATCGGCGTTTTCATTCTCTAGCTTTGTCTTTTTGGGATTTCTTTATTACAAAATATGTCTCCCGCTATTGCCACCAGTGCTGGCAGTGCCTCCAAAGATGTCAAGAAGGAGTCTGCCACTGCTCGTCTCCTCGGCTCCGGTAAGTCGTCAGATGTTGAAAACACGAATTCATTATTGACCTATGATTCTTCTAGGCTCTGCCGGTATTGCTGAATTGCTGATCTTCCACCCTGTACGATCACCGAGCTGAGAGCTATTACGACCAGATACTGACGTCCTTAGGTTGACACCACCGCCAAGCGATTGATGAGCAACCAGACTCGGGTGAGATTCGGATTGCTCACAGATAAAGGTGTATCGATTACTGATTTGGATCCTTGACAGATCACCAGCACTGCCGCCTTCAAGCAGGTTGTCTTCAGAGAGCACGTCAATGCCACAATCGGTCGCAAGTTCACCTCTCTCTTCCCCGGTCTGGGATACGCTGCCGGTTACAAGGTTCGTGACTACTATCGACAGAAAAAGGGGAGAACGACCAGCTTATACCATTTCAAACATATAGGTCCTCCAGCGCATCTACAAATACGGTGGTCAGCCTTTCGCGCGCGATTACCTTGCTAAGCACCACGGTGCCGACTTCGATAATGCATTTGGCAAGGGTACCGGAAAGGCTATTATGCACGCCACTGCTGGAAGGTAAGAACAATTGAACACTCGGATGCGAGCATTCATCTGACTTGAAACCTCCCAGTTTGATCGGCATTGGAGAGATTGTTCTGCTCCCTCTGGATGTTCTTAAGATTAAGCGTCAGACCAACCCCGATGCCTTCCGTGGCCGTGGTCTTTTCAAGATCGTTGCCGATGAGGGTATGGGTCTGTACCGTGGTGCTGGCTGGACTGCCGCCCGTAACGCCCCTGGCTCCTTCGCTGTATGTTTTTCCTGCTCCAATTTTTTACCACTGAACCACCGCTAACTTTTTGTTACAGCTCTTCGGTGGATCTGCTTTCGCCAAGGAAAAGATTTACAAGCTGACAGACTACAACACTGCCACCTGGGGCCAGAACTTTGTCGCCTCAGTCTGCGGTGCTAGCGCCTCCCTGGTCGTGTCCGCTCCCCTCGATGTCATTAAGACCCGTATCCAGAACCGCAACTTTGAGAACCCCGAGTCCGGCTTCAAGATCGTCTCCACGATGCTTAAGAATGAAGGCCCTACCAGCTTCTTCAAGGGTCTGACCCCCAAGCTACTGATGACAGGTCCCAAGCTGGTCTTCAGCTTCTGGCTGGCACAGACTTTGATTCCCGCTTTCGGTCAAGTTGTATAGAGACCATGTTTTATAATTGTTGCATCTCCCCTTTTATTTCTCCTTTCTTTGGGATAGGTTAGTTACCTTGACTTTTGTATTTTTCATAGACATGTTTTATTTCCTGAGGGGATCTATTTAGGTAGTTTACATTTTCCGAATGCGACGAACTCACTACTTCAACATTCATATGATCATATCAAGACTCTGGGTTAAATGACAAGTTCTATTTGAATGACATTCTATTGACATAGAAATAACCACAAGAAAAAGACGGGATGTATAGTGGGAATATCAACATCCAAAGCCAGTAAACGAAAGATGAAAATGAAACGCATATGTAAAGAGAAATCGCACAGATTTCACTCGTAAGGCATTCTACTAACCAGCGACAGCGTTTCTTTTGCTTTGCTAGCCAGCCCTTGGCATCTCCCGTGCTGGCTCCATGTCGATATCGTGATACCGTCATATTGTTGTTCTGCCATCGGCTCTGAAGGTGATACCAAGCCGAGCCCACAAGGTTGAGTTCTCGGGCCTGGCTGTTGATGATACTCTGAAGCTCAAGCTAATAATGCCATCAGCATACTGCTTAAACCCAACATAATCGAGGGACGAAGCATGAAAAATTCCACCGTAGACTTACCTCGCGCTCTTTGGAAATGCCATCATCCAGATTTTCTTCGTAGTTCTTCATGCGCTCACGAAGTGATTTGACCAGCTCATTTTGTTGCTGGATGTACTATAAGGTCAAGTTAGAGTTAGCACACCAATTGACCCCCAGCGAGTCATCTGTGGAAAACTGACCTCCGCACGCTGGGCGAGTCGTTCGACATTCTTCTCTAAAACTCCCGCACACTGCTTCAAGAGCTCGAAACTCGATTTCTGGGGTACTTCGCCACCCTCTGTGTTGTGAGTTTCAAACTCGCCTAGAAGCATTTGCATCTCGTTCATCACTTCCTGGTCTTCAGAGCTAATCTCGCTTTGCTTGTTGTCGAGCATCTTGCGTAGTTCCTCTCGTTCCGCACAGACTTCGCGCACCAGCGTCTGGCTGGCATCGACTTCTGCCTCCAGGTGATGAACGTTCTGAGTGAGGCTTTCCCAGTCATCCCGAATTCTTGTCAATTCAGCCGAGTTATGCGCCTCGAGTCCTTGGAGCATCTCGACCTGTTCCAGATTGACAAGACCAACTTCAAAATTTGTCAGTTAGATTGTTCACAGACATGTTGAACCGATCTTGGACTTACGTTCAGCTTGTGTGTCGGAAAGCTCTCTTTTGGTTGTTTCCAAGGTGTCCTGGACTTCTGCAATTTTCTTGAGAGCTCCGGTATAATTCTCATATAGTTTCCAATAGTCCTCACTGCAAAGCATGTTAGCTATTCTATTCATTGGGACGAAATCTTGGGCAATAAAACCTTTGAGTGGAACCAGAGCGCGCCAGGTGCACAGATACAGCAAAGTTTTCAGAGAAGCCTCCGGTATGAGAGGCTGGCTAGTGGTTGTCAGGATCAAGAGAAGGTTGTGAGATATAGATGATACACATACAGCTGAAGGTGCTTTGATCGACTCCATTTCCCGCTTCAAGTCATCATTCTCAGATTTACTGTCAATAGTTAGTATCAAGTAGGACTGCGAGGGCAAAATATATACATACAGTTGAGACTCTTTGACACCAAGTGCCTCAAAGTCCTTGTGCAATGTCCCTTGCATCTTTGGCGTCTCAGAGCCAGGCGACGCGCTGCCCGGCAAGCCGTCCATTTCCCCGAGGCGTTCACGTAGTTCGCTGATCAAAGCATCATCTCTCTCGTGCTGTTCGTCCGCACTTTCCAGCCGCTCTGTCAGCGCGTGATTATTGAACTCAAGTTGTTTCTTCAAATTCTGAATTTCATTGCATTCCTGCTCGACTTGTGGCAGAAGCTTGCGGTATTCTTCCAGCTCCACTTCGCGCTCCGAAGACCACCGCTGTTGCGAGTCTGACTCTTTCAGCTGCTGCTGAATATCTTTGATCTGGTTCTTGAGGGTCTGATTCTCTTTCTCAAAGTCTTGGCTGGCCTGCAGCTTTTGGCGGTATTTCTCAGCCGCGTTGGCCTTGCGCGCGAGCTGATCCCTCTCGGTACGAAGTTCATCATAGTCATCCTGCAACTTCTGATAGCGCTGGTTCTTGACGCGCAAGGACTCGACTGTCATCCGAAGGCTGTCAATTTCGTCCTGGGCCGCGGTCAACTTCGCTTCCTGGGACGCAATTAGATCGTCCTGCTGGCGGGTTTTGCTTTCTAATGCCTTTGCATTGAATCCAATATCACCCTTTCCAGATTTCAATGTAACCAGCCGGTCCTCGGTGGAGGCGAGCCGATTTTGCAGGGTGTCGTTGTTCTCCTGGAGACGCGCCAGGCGATTGTGCAGGTCCTCCAATGCCTTTTCTAATTCTTTTTTCTCTCGTGTGTTAGACGGTCGTTCTCCGCGAGCACCTTTCCGACGCGTTCTTCGAACTGCAATTCCAGGTCCACAGGGCGATCGTGCTTGGCTAGATCTTCCCTGAGCTCGTCCGCAGCGTCCATGGGCTCATATTGGCCATTGTGCGCCTCCTCAATGATATCCTTGAGCCCCTCCTGTGTTGAGGTGCTCAGCTCCTGAAGTGTTTGTACGTATGTTCCGGCGTTGGGGGAGCTGATGGCCGCGATCAGGAGAAGCTTCAACAACTTGTTCGTTTCCTTGGCAGAGGCTTTTTCGGCGATAGATTCGAGATCGGGCGACGGATCGAGACCGGAAGGTAGGATGTCGTCGTTTTGGTGTCGAATATAACTGAGCAGCAGTTTGTGGATGTGCTTCAGGTTCTGCCACTTGGCCACCCAATGATCGGAGGAGTTGGGCTCTGGTATTTCCTCAAGGAAATACTGGGGGTCAATATCCTGGAGAATCTCCCACAAGATGATTCCATCGGTCAACTCATCAGTGGCTCGGAGAGTTTTGCCTAAGGAGAAGCTGTTGATCCATTCCAACAGAACCTTGGTCACGGTATGTTCCGACGCCATTTTGGCGATTGACGCGTTTAATCAAGTGTCAAAGAAATATGATATTCCAGCATTTCCAAGTCTCAGCGAGAGATCATGCGAAATGCCTCGTTGGCTTAAAGGAAGTTTCTCAGCGGATCCACGCGCCTTTGGGGGGCCACATCGGGAATTAACTAGCGGGGGAGAGAAAGATGATCGGCCTTACGTTGTCCATGCTCTTTGATTTGCGACATAACTTAACTCTTTAGAAATCATCTATTGTGATATGAATATGAATACGTCCTATGTTTTATTTAAGAAATAAGCACTATATTTCCCCAAGAGCATAAAGACTCGATCATTTACTCCACATTATATACACCCCAAACGCCGAGGTAATAAATCACCCAAGTATTTCCGAGAAACTCATCCTGATTCGTACATATGGATTTGCCTCCAGACGTCATGATATACTCCAGGCTGTGAGATGCACGGTATCTCATTGGAGAGATATTAAACAGCGGCCTCATAGTCTCCATATGCACTCACAACCTTATCTTCTTCGATATTCGGGCTGTATCGGGTATCCTGCGTGGAGAGGCTCTGAAGAGCGTTCACAGGAGCCTCAGCAGCGAAGCCACTAAAGCCAGAGTTAGAAAAATGGGTAAGGCAGAAGAATTGTTGAAGTCGTACTTGATCAAATCTGTATAAATGTAGATTAGTAATGTCTTTGTATATCAAGGTAGACAAGGTAGACAAGGTAGAACTTACGATACTCATGTGTGATGACGCCGCCCTAAAAGTGTCAGTTCAATCATACCAGCAATAAAGAAGCACAGCGTACTGAAGCCACTAGGGATGCTTTGGCCTGGCTAACCACCGAGTCAGGCGTTCCCTTGGGAAAAGTAACGACGACGGACTTGAGCGATCCAGCCAGTGCCAGTGGTAGAGCCAGTAGGGCAGCAAATGTAAGCTTCATATTGAAATAGGATCAGTAGAATGTAGAAGAGTACAACGGTAGTCAGACAAGTCGGGCAAGTCAGGAGGTTGCAAGTGCTGGCGTCATTGCCTGATCACATGACTCTATCTCTGACAATCCCTTTCTCTTTGGCGCTTCCACCTCACCACTTCACGTTCCTTTCTTTTCTTGACCAACTTCTTTTTGGCTTCACTACTCTACAGCGCTGTTTTCTTGCATTTATCCATTCTTGGTCTCTTTTTTTTGTTTCTTCATTTTCCACCGCATCTGCTTGGGTTTTCCCGGACCACTTTTCCTAACATTTCTTCTCTCGTTCCACCCCTCGGCGATTCTTTGACTGGAAGGTAGATAAGGAGCTGGAAGGTTACAGGCAGGGTTGGATCGAGATCAAGCATTTGAATCTTATTGTTTTCTCAATTCTCGCAAAGATAGCTAGCAAGCATTTACAAGTTCCGACTATTTCTCCATCTTTGCGTTGATCCAAGAGAATTTGTTACTTGGAACGTGGACAAGAAATAAGAAGACAAGAAGCTCTTGATAGTCACGGGGAAAAGGACAAGCAGAATTTCAAGGGAAGAAGTGAAGAAAAAGAAGAAAAGAAAAGAAAAGAACAAACTTGAAAGAAAAGAGACAAGTGCAGGGAAAAAAAACCCCACGCGCTGAACTTCGCCTTGATATTGAATTCTGCTCTCGACATCTCTGATAAATCCAGTTCTCGACTCATCCCATATCGCCATAATGTCTGGCCTGGTTTCCGACGAAATTGCCGAGGACTACAAGAGTTCTCTGGAGGATCTAACCACCAACGATGGAATTCAGATTCGTACTCTGACTGTCATCGCCAAAGAGAATACCGAACACGCAATGGCTATCTCCCGGGTCCTGGAGAACCACATTCGAACAGTAGGTGTTCCTGCTTTTTTTTTTCTCTTGTGTCGTAGTACGGGATGAGCACTAACCACTATGTAGACACCACCCCTGCAGAAGCTTCCAGCCCTCTATGTAGCCGATTCCATCGTCAAGAATGTTGGAAGCCCTTACACCCTCTTCCTTGGCAGGAACATGTACCAGACATTCATGAATGTGTATACTTTGGTCGATGGAAATACTCGAAGGAAGTTGGATGAGATGCTCAACACGTGGAAGCAGCCGGCTCCAGGTTCCCTGGACACACGCCCAGTCTTCCCTCCCGACATCACACGCAACATTGAGACTGCTCTCATTAAAGCTCGCACTGCAGCTTTACAACAACAACAGGCCAGGGCTCAACCAGACATACTCGGGCGTAGTCGTGGAAGTGGAACTCCGACTGGGTGGACCAACAGCCCTACACCACCTCAGAACATGCCTCGGCCTCCGCAAAACCAGTTCCCCAACAATGGTTCCAATTCGGTAAGACTATTGTCGTCTGTCACACTCAAAGCTAATTTCGGTCTCACAGGCACCTCCCCAGACTCATCGACATGATATTGATTTGAGCTACCTCAATCGAGATGTGGATGCCTTGATTGCTTCTGCAAAGATTGACTTTGCTAACAGTCCTTTTAACCCCGTCTCTCGACAACGCCTAAAGGCATTAGTAGATCTTCAGGCCATTCTACAGAAACAACAGCTCGCCCCAGATCAGTTGAAACTTGTCCGCGATCAAGTCTCAGCGCTTGCTGCCACAAGACCGCCGTCGGTTGCCCCTAACGCTGCTACGAATGGCTCAGTAGTGTCCACTCCGCAAATTCCGACGCCACCAGCGCAACCAGTCTCGCAGCCTCTTCACCAGCTATTAAACCAGAACACTCTCGCCGAGCTGATAAAAGCTACCGCTTCGCGTCAACAATCCACTCCACCACCTCAAATCCCAGCAGCGTTGCCTCAGATGCCCCAATATCCTCACCAAAGCACCCCTCCACAGCCAGCGCCGGAGAACCCTCTGATTGCGGCCTTGAGGGCACGTGGTCTTCTACCTGGTGGGCCGACACCCTCACCTCTTACGCCTTCGACTTCGACGCCAGCGTCTGGAAGATCTAATTTGCCGTTCATCTTGCCCCATGGACTGCAACCTACACCCTCAATTTCGTCTCAAGCTGCAATTCCCTCCAATGGATCCTCTGGAGTTCCTATGAACACCGCGTCTATGAAGATCCCTCGATTCGGACTCATTGTCTCTCTTTATGATTCCCGACCAAACCGATGTGGAACTTGCGGCCGTCGCTTCTTAACCACGGACGAAGGCAAGGAAATGAAGGCACGACATCTGGACTGGCATTTCAAGACCAATCAGCGCATGACCGAGTCCTCCAGACGAGCTCAAAATCGCAGCTGGTATGTTGACGAAAGGGTATGTTTTATCTCTTCTATTTCTTCACGCTTCATTCCTAACTGCAATAGGACTGGATCAAATCTCGAGAGGCTGGCGACGTGAATGGCGCTGCGGACCCCCAAGCTGCCGCCGAAGGGGCTGCAGATGGGGATGGAAATATCAAACAAGAGCCGCCAAAGCCATGGATTCGAGCTCCAAACGATGCGACTCTCCGCAATACCCCTTGCCCCATCTGCCAGGAGAAGTTTGAATCGACCTGGTCTGAGGACGTTCAGGACTGGATCTGGCAAGATGCAACCAAGGTCGGAAGTCGTGTGTATCATGCAAGCTGCTATTCTGAAGTGACCAAGGGCCCTGCACCGACACGTCAAACACGGACCAGCACGCCCGACTCTGTCTTGGGCAAGCGGAAAGCTGAAGTGAGTTCTCAATTGAGGATGTTGAATGTTCGAGCTAACCAGACCCAGGGGGAATCTCCAAGCCAGAAGACACGCATCAAGACCGAGATGTGATATTTTGTACCAACATAATCATTTGCATAGGGATCATCTCTCTGGCGTTAATTAGCGAAATGAGTTTTCACCCAATCCAAGTTCAGGCCACTTCACAACTTGTAGACCCCGCTCGGCAATATCCGCCAGGTTTCCCCCATCGCTTCCGTAGATTTGTTCTTCTTCTGTGATCAAAAGATACAGCATACAGAAAATATACACGAAAACATACAGAAACTGAAAACTATTCATCAATTTTCTCATCATGGCGCCACATATTGTTCGATGGGGTATCATGGGTATGAAGTCTTGCCATAAGATTGAAGACCAAGCTAACTGATGATTAGCCACTGGCTGGATTGCTGAAAGTAAGATCTATCTGACACTACCTGTATAAGACAAGAATTCATACCTATCTCCCGACAGCATTCACAAATGACCTTCTTATCGACCCTAACCTCCGCGATGCCTCTGACGTAGCCCACCAAGTCGTCGCCGTGGCCTCGTCCTCGTCCAAGGACAAGGCCGAGCAATTCATTTCAGCTCGAGGAATCACAACTCCTTGCTCAGCATACGGGGACTACGAGACTTTGGTGGCCGATCCCAACGTCGATGTTATCTACGTCGCGACCCCGCACTCCCATCACTACCAGAATGTCAGACTGGCACTGGAGGCGGGCAAGCATGTTCTCTGCGAGAAAGCCTTTACTGTCAACGCTGCTCAAACTAAGATCCTTGTCGAAGTTGCCCGCAAGAAGAACCTCTTCCTTATGGAAGCTGTCTGGACGCGCTACTTCCCCATCAGCATTCAGATCCGCGAGCTCATTCAGAAGGGTGAGATCGGTGAGGTCCTCCGTGTCGTGGCCGATACGAGCTTCGGTGATGATGTTGAGACGAAATGGGGTACCACACATCGCATGGTGAACCCCGATTTGGCGGGTGGTGCTCTCTTGGATTGTATGTTTTTTTTTTTTTTTTTGAGAGTTCTGTTCATTGATTCTTCCCCCAAGCATAAAAAGAGAAAAACAAATGCCGTGGCTGACTTGTTCTTCTAGTGGGTATCTACTCCCTGACCTGGGTCTTCCAGACGCTATACCACACCCTGCCCCGAGACCAGAGGAAGCCACCCACTGTCTCCTCGCAGATGACTCCTTACCACCTCACTGGTGCAGACGAGTCCACAACCATGCTTCTGAGCTTCCCTACAAGCACTCCATCTAATGGTCCCCACCCGCAACAATCGCACGGTATCGCCCTGACTAACATTCGTGTCTCTGCCGATCCGGATGAGAAGGGCTCAAGTGGCCCCCCCATCCGTATTCAGGGCACCAAAGGTGAGATCCAGGTACTTGGCCAGCCTTTCCGGCCAGAGAGCTACCGTATCATTCCCAAGAAGGGTGCCGGTGAGATCCGTGAGGTCCAGTGCCCGTTCCCTGGTAATGGCAAGGGTATGTACTGGGAGGCCGACGAAGTTGCTCGCTGTCTCCGCGATGGCCAGCTCGAGAGTGAGGGCCTACCATTGGAAGAGAGTATCGTTATCATGGAGGTTATGGATGAGGTGCGGAAGCAGGGTGGTTTGACCTACCCTCAACAGATTGAGTCGACTGAGTATCCTCTGAAATTCTAGATATGAATTATATGGCAAGTGTATGTAACAATAGTACATGGTATGAGACGAATACACATATCGACTCGAATAGAGATAAGACTGAAAATACTAAGAAATTTACCGAAAGATCCAATTGAATGTAAGCCGGTCTTGAGTGTACTTATTCGGTACTCAAAAGGGTAACACATACTACTATACATGGCGGTCAAGGGTCTGAACCCAGGTCTATATGTGGACGAAAACGCCAGCCATGCTTCCAGTGTGCCCAATTAAGAAACAAAAAAAAACATAGGAAGAACAAAGGTAGGCATCACGGAGCCTGGACTGGTAAATTGTCCCCAAATTACCTCCCCCAAAATTCCCTTTTAGATGTAATCAATCCCAACCGGACTGCTTACTGGCGGAAGACTCCGAGAATGCTCTTCCAGACCTGGCCAGGCTCCTGGCTGGCATCAATGCCGCGCCAGATACCGGTCTTCTTGTAGTACTCGACAACGGGGGTGGTCTGGGCGTGGTAAGTAGACAAACGCTTGGTGAGGGTGTCGGCATTGTCATCGGAACGCTGGATCAGCGGCTCTCCGGAGACGTCATCCTTCATGTCAACCTTGGGTGGGTTGAAGATCTTGTGGTACGAGCGGCCAGAGGCAGGGTGGACCAGGCGGCCGGTGATACGAGCCACCAGTAGGGAATCATCAATCTGCAGCTCAATGGCGTGCTGAAGCTTCTGCTCACGGGCGATGAGCATGTCATCGAGACGCTCGGCCTGCGCAACGGTCCGGGGGAAACCATCCAGAATGAAACTGTTCCACCTCTCAAGTTAAATTCTGGCCGGGCCACGGAAGAAAAAGAAATTGGAAAGGGGATTTCGATGTACGCACCCGTTCTTGCACTCTGCGTTGTTGTCCAACTCGCTCTTGATCATGTTGACCATAATCTCGTCGCTGACGAGACCACCCTGATCCATGATCTTCTTGGCTTCCTTACCAAGATCGGTCTTCTTCGCGACCTGGGACCGCAGCATGTCTCCGGTGGCCTATTCAGGTAATCTATCAGCGGGAAGCGCTCATGCTGTACTCGGGCAAACTTCTACTCACCAGGTGGCACGCGCAGTACTTTTCCTTAAGGTTCGGGGCTTGAGTTCCCTTGCCTAAATAGAACCGTTAGCATCCATTGTTTTCTTTCTTGTTTTTTTCAGTCATATTTCAATCGCATACCTGCGCCAGGAGGGCCCATCAGGATGATGCGCATCTGCTCAGCGGCAGACTTAGGCTTGCCGCCATTGGCGAGACGACTCTCAAGCTCAGACACCTTCGCCTCGAGCTGGTGAATGGTATTCTTCAGACCAGAGACGGCCTCTTCAGTGATGGGAGCCATTGTGAATTATAAGAGGGGAGAGGTTTGAAGAAGAGAAGCGCTGTAGACGGGGAAACGGAAGAAATGGGGAAAGGGAAGATTCGCAAGGAACTTAGCGCCCGAGGTTCGGAGAGCACGGGCTTCACAGAGAATAGAGTGAAGACATAGGGTGCAATTGTAGAGATATTTACATGTTATTTATTCTAGTACAATGTCAATGCATTTTTTATGCTCTGTCTTCTGTACCGATGTATTAAATTTGTTTCTAGAATTATTTTGTTTCTGTATTCTCTTCCAAGGCTTCGATTCACCCGGCAAATTCCACTGCCCAGGTGCAGGTGGCTGCTTACTAAGTTCTCCAGCCTCGAGATGGCGCAGCTCTGTGGCGGAGAGCTCTCAAGAGTACCTGCGCATCATCGCTCTCCATCCACCGCATTCTCCTGTCTCGCGTTGATTTGCTGTTTCATTAAATTTGATTTGTTCTACGAGCTTTAATCATCCCCTATAGGTCTCGATTACTCTTCACCTTCCCCTTCACGATGCCTGCCACCACGGCAGACACGCTATCCCTCGTCAACCGCTCCGTGACGGTTGCCCCGTTAGTTCTGCTTTCTGTCGCAGATCACTATGGGAGAACAGCAAAGGGTACCCGGAAACGTGTTGTGGGTGTGCTGCTTGGTGAGAACTCGGGCGATAATGTCCGAGTATCAAACAGTTTTGCTGGTGAGTGCACGCTTCGGTGAATCAAATCCATACAACAGAGCTGACATCTACCTCTCTCTCTCTAGTACCGTTCGAGGAGGATGAGAAAGACCCATCAGTCTGGTTTTTGGACCACAACTTCGTTGAGTCGATGAGGGATATGTTCAAGAAGATCAATGCTCGCGAGAAGCTAGTCGGCTGGTACCACTCAGGTCCTAAGCTGCGCGCTTCGGATTTGGAGATCAATGAGCTCTTCAAGAAATACACGCCCAACCCCTTGCTTGTTATTGTCGATGTACAACCAAAGGAAGTCGGTGTGCCTACAGATGCTTACTTCGCCGTGGATGAAATCAAGGATGTGAGTTTGCCATTAAGTCCAACAAAGCACCCATCAGGCCATCAGGACTAACCAAAGCCATTTTACACTTGCAGGATGGAACAACAACCTCCCGAACATTTGTGCACACCCCATCGATAATCGAGGCAGAAGAAGCAGAGGAGATTGGCGTGGAGCACCTCCTCAGAGACATCAGGGACGTCGCCGTCGGCACACTTTCCACTCGTATTACGTCGCAGCTGCAGTCACTGCAAGGATTGCATCTGCGGCTACGCGATATCGGCCAATACCTCCAGAAAGTTCTCGACAAGGAACTTCCCGTCAATCACGCTATTCTGGGCAACCTCCAGGATGTTTTCAACCTCCTTCCCAATCTGTCCACTCCACCGGCGACGCTGCGGACCAGTGGTCAGGAGCCACAAATTGAAAACAGCGAGTTGGCACGGGCCATGAGTGTCAAGACTAATGACCAGTTGATGGCCATCTACATCAGTAGCTTGATCCGTGCCATCACGGCTTTCCACGACTTAATCGATAACAAGATCCAGAACCGACAGCAGCAAGAGGAGAGTGAAAACAAGCGGGACCAGGAGGCCAATGGAACTAAGGGAGACAAGGATGTCAAGAAGGCCGGTTTGCCAAATGGCGAGCAGAAGGAGGAGCAGGATAGCTCCGAGAAGAACAAGAAGAACTAAGGGACTTTTCTTAATTTATTTTCTTCTAGAAAGGATTGTCAATTACATGAGTGAATTCTCTGACATTTCAACCTCTTTTTTCCCCCTTGATATCTCGCCATGCATAATGAATAGTCAGGGTCAAGACCATATTAGCGGTCCCAGGTCCGTCCAGTTTGCATAGCGAACGAAGACCTTAGTTTCTCTGTAAGCGGTCTAGAGTACATTCTAATAACACTGTCATTGCTGTGTCTGGCATGCATACATCCCACAATCTGAAGGGCTCTAGGACAAATCCCCTACACGTGTAGCCAGTCGGACTTCTCACGCGTTCAATGATTGATCGCCCGGGCAAAAGCAGATGCCTCATGTGGAATGGATGAGGGCCCGTGGTAGGACCTGTAATCATCTGCGGATACCTGTAATGGTCCTTAGACGGTTCAGCGGCTTAAGATAGACTCTTTCAAGTACATGATCAATTCACATATCAATTTGCATTGACGTGTCAATAGCCAAGTACATCAGCCACCCCAGCCAGCACACCAGCCCGCCAATTCTTCCATGGAAACGGGGAATCTGCCATCCCCATCAACCCCAAACAGCTCAGGACACCGTACATGCAAGATACAGGCCAGGATATGTTTGCAGGTAGGAGGTGACACCCGAGCCGTACCACGAGCCAGAGTGCCACCAAATGAGTAGGGCAACTGGTTCTGTTCGTTTGCTGGATCATTCATCGGAGATTGATCTCGGTATGCAGACAAGGTAAATGTAGGACAGCTACAATTCCAGGCACGTAGCCGAACCTCGTAGCCCTTTTGGGATGCGAGTGAAGGTGCCGCAGATATCACGATGAAAACATCCTCTGTCTCTGCACAATCCGATATAATTCGACGAACTAGTTTGCGATCGAGGATATCAAGGGCAGGAAGGAAGTCATTTGGAAATAGACAGTGTAATGTTAACATCAATGGTTTCAGATTGGAATTTCCCAATTCTGTGATCAATTGATCGATGAAGACTGTAGAGTTGATAGAATTCATTGAGATGGAAAGAGGAAATCAATTGAAGACTGCAACACAAACGACAAAAAAAAAAAAAACTCCGAGATATCTGACCAACTTCCCAAACTCCCTCAACTTCTCAACTTCTCTACTTCTTCTTCGCCTTCTTCTTCCCATTTTCATTTCCATCGTCATCATAATCCTTCGCTTTGCCTTTCACTTTGTTGAAAATCTTAGAAAATGCCTTTTCTTTCTCCTTCTCCTTTTCTCCTTCCGTCTCTTCCCTTTCTCGCTTATTGTTCTTGAGTCTATTGAAGTGCATTCCTTGAACTTCGAGATCCAACAGTTTGGCCCCTTTACCTTTGTCTCCCGTCAAAGTTATCTCCAGTCGTCCTCGTTCTTTGGTCCAGTTGAGTATTTCCTCATTGTCGCCCATCTCAGGACCAATAGCAGAAGTCTCTTTACCTCCCCTTTTCTTCTCCCATTCATCCGCCCATCGCTCAAACTCCTTGCGCCTTGCTTCCGCCGTGCGAGCTATGTATCCATCGAGAACCTTGGGAATGACCACATCCATTAACTTCACTAACCCCTCGGAATCGCTCGGAATATTGACACCTTGTTCTAGGACAGGTCCAGAATCAAAATCTGCAAACGTGGAGTCAACTTGCATATCATCGAGCTCTGGGGCTGTCGTTCCCTTGGGGAATTCGTTGGGTGGTGCCTTGGGGAACTGTCCCTTGGCTGCCGGTCCCTCGTCATTCGTGGGTAACCGGCGGTATGCAAAGAGGTAACCGGTAGGAAGATGGTTTGGGTTACTTCCAGGCCCTTCAGGGATCCAGTCCATGATTTCCAAGTCATTCGCCTTGACCCATGTGTCTCCTTTCCCTTTGACACCCATGCTGTAATGACCCTGCATAACATCCCTGCCATGATGCAAGACCATCGAGGTCAACTTGTACTGGACGGTTTCCCGTTCGTCGCCCCAGCGTTCATCCATGAAGCGTGTCTCGATATTCAACTCCTCGCTCATATATACGTGAGTGCTGATCTTCTCACCCATCGCACTGGTGCGATTGAGCTGAATCAAGAGAATCTCGGGAAACCTTGCAATTTGGTCTGCAGAAGTCCTGTTGCCTCCGCATGTTTCACATGGACTCTCGAACTCGAACGCGTACTCAAAGTGCTGGGTGATGATATCACTCAAAGTAGGCTTTACAGGGAGTCGATCGCCCTCCTCCCCGGATAAGTTAATCCTCATGAATAGTTGCTCAATTGGGTCGTATCTTGCCTCACAGGCGTTTTCCCCCGTGCACCTCAACACTGTGACGAGTTCGACCTTGAATATATCTTCCAAGTCTCCTTGCCTATCGCAAAATCAGTCCGGGGGTGTCTGGGGTCATGGAGAGAGAAGAACGTACATCATAGGCTTGGTGCTCTCTATGATCGCGTTGTAAAGTACGTCCAAGTACTCTGCCGGATCTTGTTCCGAGTTGACCCCAGCTGGTTTCCAACTCCGCAAGAGCGAGCGTGTGAGGGATCTAAAGGCAGGCTTCCAGCTTGTACTGTCACCTGCCCAGTAACCTTGAGCGATCTCAGCAAGTTGGCAAACGTAGCATTCGGTGGGACCTTCATCGGAAAAGCCCAGTCTGCAAATGTGACCTGGTGGAGCATGGTGGTTCTTGTACCAGATGAGCCAATTGTAGAAAATCGGCATATGTAGAATCATTTGGAAGACGGCATTGCGATAGCAGTCCACTCCGTTATTTGGAAATCCCACCGTGGTTTTGTCGGGCAGGTCGGGATGCCAATATTTGGGAATCAACGGCTATCTTGTTAGGGTTGGTGGACGGTATACGATATCTCGGGCACTTACTCTCAATGTCCTTTTCTGTTCCGTAGACTTTGTTCTTTTCACGGTTCGATCATGCACCTCCTTGTCTCTGAAGGAGTCTTCGACTTGCTCTTCCGCTTCTTCCTCTTCGTATGGCCCTTGGACTTGTTCCACTTCCTCTCCCTCGACGTTCTCGACGTGCTCGAGGGTTTCTTTAGATCTGGCCATGCTAGAATCAGTGAATAGATGGGGTGTGAGATTAAGACTTGGGATTGGCATTTAATTTATCTTGCATTTCAACTGGACTTTCATTGTTTTCATCTCTAAAGGAAATCAGGGCTTCGACATTCAAAGAATGCATGACGGAGCCAATCAGTCACCGCGAAGACCGTCACGATCAAAGAAAGTTGAGAATTTTGTTCGAACTCGAGAGGCCCTCTCATTCACCTTTCATTCAGCTTTCGGGTTGATTCTGTTCTTCTTTCACCCATTTCCCCCCTTGAATGATTTGAAGCCGCGATTTGAATTCGATGTACGTTCAAACAAAGTAAACTTGGGGTTGAGTCTTACATTTTCTATAAATAAAACGTGATTGAAAGAGAAAATGAGAATGAACCTGTGACTGGGACCTGAGATCAACTTTTTTTTTTTTTTTCGATCCTATCCAAGTGCAGTCCAAGTGCAGTCCAATTTCAGTCCAATTTCAGGGCTCAGTGGGACCCTACACCATACCCTGGGAGCCAATTTCCTTAGCCGTGTTCCCCCAGTTTTTTGCATGTTCGAGACCAGTCTGTCAAGATAATATAGAACCTGTTCCACCTAAATTGTCTATAGAGTGTCTAGACGGACAGCTGTTTCAGATGTGGAGTCCAATTAAATCGGCCTCTCTCTGAACGGATGATTGGCCCGTGGGAATCTCCAGAGATCCGGCCGAAAGTTATGGAGTACATATCTCAATCGGGATATGTATGGTAGAGATATATATATATATTTCAGCATCCACCTGAAAAGATATCATATATTGACAGCAGGGTTCCTCGCATCTACCGAAGATCCACTCCCCAGCTGAGAGGATCTCAGTGGAGCGCCAGAATCCTCCTGAACGAACTGGAGAAGAAACCCCCTGAAATGAGAGGTAATCAAATCAAAAATTGAAAAAAGATAAAAAGATAAAAACGGGTCCTGTGGAGGGGGAAGAGAAAGCTCGCGCAGCTCCTTCGCTACCACTTAGGTCATGACGATCCGACGTTTGCCCCTCCTTGAAACTCCACACCGTTATTTCTTCAGCTGACGTTCTATTTTATTTCCGAGTTTCTCATTCCAGGGGTATTATATATATACATATATTACATACACTACATATATACTACATCTACTTGGACTACATATACTACCTACATATAGTAGACGCTGAGATATATCTCTCTCTCTCCTCGAATATCCAGTCCCGTTTCAGCGGATCATACGGTGAAGCCGTAGCTGCCGAACGGGTCACGTCTGTGCGAAGCCAAGGGAGGCAACGATCGCCTTGCGAACGTTGCGATCCACTTACACCTTTGCCTTGTTTTCGGAAAGTTGATAGGTAGGATGTCCACTCTAGGCCTAAGAGTCCAAAGTACCGGGGGATCCAAATAAGAACTCGTGTTCTTAAGGGTCTAACGGGCATGACGTTGGTAAATTGGTGGAAATTGGGCCTGACAGTTAAGTGGAAATTGAGAAATGACCCCACTACGCCCTTAATCTTGCACAGGAACTCTTACTAGATTTGGATATCTAGTATTTACAATATATACCTATATATATAAATAATATATAATAATATATATATATATATTTATCCTCACCAGTATAGAACACATGGACACCCGAGAGTCGGGAACCCGGAAAAGCCCCACCAATGTAAAATCCCCGACTGGTTCTTGGTACGGGAGGTACTGTAAATTTCAGACTCGTTCTGGACCGAAAAAGACCGTCATTTAACCAAAGGGTGATGCGGGTCCCCGTTTGAAATTAAAAATACTCAAAACCTCATTAAAAAATACTCTAAAATACTCCGAGAATTCAACTTACCGTTTGATCTCGCTCTTCTTGGTTAGTATGAAACTCTGCAGGTCATAACAGGCCGTGGACTCCGAGGTTCTTCAACATTGAACCTGGAAGATTCCTTAAATACTATAAAATACTACCTATACTACAAAATACTATCGAAACCTGAAAGATCAACTGTTTAATTTCAAAGTGGATAGGAAATTATGTGTGTGTTTTTTTTTTCCTGTAACAGCCGTTACCCTTTATAGTCCCCAACGGTCTTAGACTCTTTCTCTTCAAGATAGGTTTAGATCAGCTGTCACTTGTTCGTTTCACGTTCGGATGCTTCATATGGTTTTCCTTCCCTTTTTTTTTTATGTGCCTGGTCTACTTTCCCCCGATATTTCTCTTTTTTTCGTTGTGAAATTCTTGGGAAACCGATTCTTCTGAATTTGGACTTGGGATCACAAGCACTTTCCCTTGCTCGTGTTCTTCTTTTGTTCCCTTCTTGCCCCCTTTTACCCCCCTTCAGTGTTGGGGAAAACCTCCCTTGGTTTTTTTTTGGTTCTATTCTATTCGGGGCTCATCCGCGCATATGATTGCGTTACAAAATCGGCCTATATTGCCTCCCGTCAAAGTGGATATCTCACTACTACTCAAGCCCCAAGATGAGGAAGAAGCCCCGGATGTGAATGCCGGGTACCCGCCCAGAACGATAGGGCAACTAGGTTTAGGTCCCATGATGACTATGCCGGGCCCGGCCATGGCCATGCCACCCTTGACCAAGACTGGCCCATCGGGAGCTGCCAAGCGGTTGCAGCCCTCCCATACGTCCGAGTCTCCAGCAAAGAAGCAGTCCAAGTGGTCGCCAGATGAGGACGCCTTGATCATCGAACTGCGGGGTAGTGGTATGAAGTGGGAGGACATCAGCAAACGACTCCCCGGCCGCAGCGCCATCAGTTGCCGTCTGCATTACCAGAACTACCTAGAACGCCGAAGTGAATGGGATGAAGATAAAAAGAACAAACTAGCCCGGTTATATGAAAGGTAGGTGAGAAGAGGAACGCGGATCTCGGGAATATACACTAATCTCGGGCCTAGATTCAAAGCTGAAATGTGGTCCAAGGTAGCCGAGGAAATGGCAATCCCATGGCGTGCAGCGGAGGCCATGCACTGGCAGCTAGGAGAGCAGGAGATGGCTCGACGCGCAGGTGTGGTGCCATTCTCTCTCTCTAGTGCCGCCATCGATCCCCCAACCACCAGAACACGCCGCGCCAGCACTTCTTTAGCCCGCCCAAGAAAGGGATCTTCCTCACGCGCAATCCCAGGCCACCTGCCAGGTCATCCACCTCAACTTCCCTCCCTTGAAGAGCTCACTGCAGGCGTTCCTGCATACGCCCCCGCCCCACCTCCCCCGAGGGAGTTCTATGGGATTGGACGACCGCCCGAGATGGGGATTCCTCCACCAGGTCTCATGGGCCCTCACCTTGGCATGCCCCCTCGGACCATGCCTTAGGATGAGATGATGAAGATGACGCCTACACGTCTTTCCTTGAGTTTTCCCCTTCCAAGTCTTTTTCTTCTTTTTTTTTTTTTTTTTTCCTTTGTGGTCTTCTGTTACGAATTGCATAGCGCCGGTTGGAGGTATATCGTGATTTGTGGGGATAGTGAATCGTATAGATGATTTCTACCCCGGTGTTTTGTTGCGTTCTTTTCCTCTGTTTGCTTTTTGGGGCCAGCAGTGCGAATTGAAGTGTTTTCCTATGACTCCGAGGCTGGCTCTCGGAGCTGCATACCCCATTTTCAAACGTCATGAGCCGTTTTGGGCGTTGCGATCGCCCACCAGTTATCTTTCTCGTACCCGGATTCCAGCACACGACCACCGGCATTGTCTATGTCACGCTCCAGCTCGCCTTCCGCATACAGGTGATAGTATCGATGGAATGTCTGGGGTTGATCACCCTTGCGGACCCAGGGAACCATTCGATCTTGCTCATCGCCTTTGTCCCAACCTCTACGGCTGTTCTTTTGCTCGAGGGCCCAGGCATAGATTAGGATCTTCCCACCCTCCTGCATCTCTGAACCACGCTTCACAGTTCGCATGATCTCGGCGACAGCTTGAACTCGCCGGGTCGGGGTGGAAAGATGGTGCACCACCGCGATTGAGATTGCAAAATCAAAGCTTGCATCCCGGTGTGGGAGGTCAAGAATATCAGCTACCACGGTCGAATGCGGCTGGTGCTGCAGGGCAATCCGAGCCAGGTTCTCAGATCTGTCATCGAATTAGCTCAGACCAAGCTGAAAAGGGTCCCAATGAGCGGAGTGATATCCCAAGGAAATAAAGCAGTCTATAGAAAATCCAAAACTTCAAAAATCCCACAATCCCCAAAATTCAATAATTCAATAATTCATATCAAAACATACCTATCTGAAGCAATGATGAAGACATCTCGATTGACCATCAAGTTTTTGCCATTACCGCACCCTACATCTATACCCACTGCACCTGGTGTTAAGCTCGTGAGAAATCGTTCGACTATAGGCCATGGCTGAGAACAATAGTTAGTTGGGGAACCGGCGAAGTTGAGGTGGCGCCAGTCGCTTTAAACAAACCTTGTAGCGGGTGGCGGAGAAATGCTGAGCAATCTGCTGATACACTTCATGAACATTTTGCTGCTCATAGGCTTCGCCTGGCTGTTGAGACGCCATGATGCCCTCGTCGAGAACAAGGTGGGAGTTGGAAGAGTTGAAAAGTCAAGCGAGAATGGATATCACGTGGCTCGCGATTTGTAACGGGCTATCTACATCATCGCGATGTGGGATTTATATAGATCTACAGAAAGTACAAAGCATAAAGCTTGAATAACATCAAGTTTGACTGTCTTGGCTTATTTTGTTTATTGGAAGATACACATTAAGTAACTGCTCTGGAGTCATATAAAAAGGGTTATCAGTCTTGAAGTATGAACGGTGTTCCTGTCATAATGCAAGCTACTACAGCTACAAGATAGGATGAAATCTATTCCACAATACGTCAAAAAAAAAAAAAAAAAAAAAAGACCTAAGCTATGACGGGCTTGATGTTGATAATACGGCTAGAATGGAAGTGCCGTATAAGAAAATATTAGATCTGTATTCTCAACATGCGATAGCCCACATGGTAAAATAATGTCGACTGATACAATCCCACTTTGACATCC